GTGATGAAACTCCCTAGGTTTGAAGAGGAGTCTCTCAACACCACGGCCTGCGTGGGGTTGGCCTCTGTGACCAACCCACACACCCCCTCTTCTCTGGGCAGAGGGGCTGCATAGAATGCAGTGTCAGCACAACACGGGCTCATTGCTCAGCACCTTGCTGTGGCACCACAGAGAGGCCGGGGCAGGCTCATCATTTCCATAGGCACGGTGAGGTTATCCTGCATGTCGTGGACAGTGGCTGAGCCCATGGCAGTTTCCTCACAGTGATCTCACCCGCAGCACCCACCGCTGCCCCAAGCTCTTCTCACACCCCATCTTACTGTCCCTCTCCACTGCCTCAGTGCTCCTCACAGACATCTTCCTTCTTCTTCCCCCTCCTTCACCAAACCCATTCTGTATTCATGACCCACCGCCGTGCTTTCCAGTTTCCTCCTTCAAAGCTCACACCGCATCAGTGTCATTTTGCACACATATATTTATAGAATTTCACAACATTCTGGTGAGTCAAAAATGTTGAAATATGGGAAAGCCATGAATACTCTGTGCATTTTCTGTGTCTTGAGTCTGAGTGCCTCCTGAACTGAGAGCTAATCATATAACCATATGGAGTGCAGTCTGCTAGAGATTAAGTGAAATTTGTTGCATTACCACATCGCAGCTCTGTTTCCAGCTCATCATATGTCAAGATTAACATAAACCTAGCAGAGAAGCTGCATTCTGGGGCTGACTGCACCAAGTCCCAGCTCCACCCCAGGGCTGCCGGCACCGAGATTGCGTCCCCAGCACCGAGCTCCATCACGAGGGGGACACCTGGAAGGTGGTGTGACTGTGCGCCCACCAACATCTTCCCATCCGAAGAGATCCTAAGCCAGACAGAGGGGATTGCCAGTGCCTACATCTGCTCCGCATCTGCGATCTACTTGGGGTTCGTGTCTGCTCGCCCTCTGACTTCGCATCTGCATCCGCTCAGCTCCCGCACCTGAATCTGCTTAGCGCCTGCATCTGGCCCCGCTCAAGTGCACTGCACCTGCTCCACATCTGTCCGTTTCCTCAGCGCCCGCGCTCCTCAGGGCGTCCCAGCGAATCCCAGCTCTGCACCTGCTCGGCACCCCCGCCGCCCGCGATTCCCCCACCGCTACTGGAGCGGCATCCTCCACGCAGGCGCCTTCCCAGAGCCGGCGAGGAGCCGGGCACACCGCGCACCGCCGCTGGGCACGGAGGGCTCCGAAAGGTGGGGCTCGGGCCGCCCGTTCCTCACTCAGCGGAGCCCCGCTCCCTCCGAACCCCGCACGCCGCGCTCAGCCCCAGAGCCGCGCCGCCCCCCTCTCGCAACGCGACGCCGGCGCTCCGGACGCGGGCGCTCGCCGCAGCTCCCCGCTTCCCCCGGCCTCCCCTCCGGGCGCTGCGCGCCTGGCGCTTACTGTGCTCGGGGAGGCCCTGGATCATGTCAAATTTATGGATCTCTTTGGCATAGTACTCGGACTCGGTGTTCTCCTGAGAGCAGCTCTCCTCCTTCTCCTCCTCCATCTCCTCCAGCAGCTCGCGGGTGCTGTTGTAGAGCGCCAGGATCTGGTAGGGCACGTGGGCCGGCCCCACGCTCTCCGGGGGGCTGGTGAGCCGCAGCTTGCTCAGGATCTGCCCCCGGATGGCCTCCACCCGCTTCTTCTTGATGTGCTCGAGGTCCAAGGTGGTGCAGGAGGACAGCGCGAGGCTCACGGTGGCGAAGCTCAGCAGCGAGAGCAGCACCAGAGCCCTTTGCGCGTACATCTTCATGTGCGAGGGGGCGGCGGCGGCGGCGGTGCCCCCGGGGAGAGCCCCCCGGGCGGCGGCGAGCGGCGGGCGCGGGGCCCCGGGCGGTGCTCCGGCGGCAGCCTCCCCAGATCCCGCGGGCTGGGGCTTGGCGCGGAGGCGCATGAACTCACCGCGCCACGCGCGACTCACGACTTCCAGGAAGAGCTGGCAGCGCTCCGCCGGGGAAAGCGGCCGGCGCCGTGCCTCGCCGCGCCGC